TCACTGTGCCACTGACTGTGTCACTGTGCCACTGACTGTGTCACTGTGCCACTGACTGTGTCACTGTGCCACTGAGTCACTGTGCCACTGACTGTGTCACTGTACCACTGACTGTGTCACTGTACCACTGACTGTGTCACTGTGCCACTGACTGTGTCACTGTACCACTGACTGTGTCACTGTGCCACTGACTGTGTCACTGTACCACTGACTGTGTCACTGTGCCACTGACTGTGTCACTGTGCCACTGTGTCACTGTACCACTGACTGTGTCACTGTACCACTGACTGTGTCACTGTGCCACTGACTGTGTCACTGTACCACTGACTGTGTCACTGTACCACTGACTGTGTCACTGTACCACTGACTGTGTCACTGTGCCACTGACTGTGTCACTGTACCACTGTGTCACTGTACCACTGACTGTGTCACTGTGCCACTGACTGTGTCACTGTGCCACTGACTGTGTCACTGTACCACTGACTGTGTCACTGTGCCACTGACTGTGTCACTGTGCCACTGTGTCACTGTGCCACTGACTGTGTCACTGTGCCACTGAGTCACTGTGCCACTGACTGTGTCACTGTGCCACTGACTGTGTCACTGTACCACTGACTGTGTCACTGTGCCACTGACTGTGTCACTGTGCCACTGACTGTGTCACTGTACCACTGACTGTGTCACTGTGCCACTGAGTCACTGTGCCACTGACTGTGTCACTGTGCCACTGACTGTGTCACTGTGCCACTGACTGTGTAACTGTGCCACTGACTGTGTCACTGTGCCACTGTGTCACTGTGCCACTGACTGTGTCACTGTGCCACTGACTGTGTCACTGTGCCACTGACTGTGTCACTGTGCCACTGACTGTGTCACTGTGCCACTGAGTCACTGTGCCACTGTGTCACTGTACCACTGACTGTCACTGTGCCACTGAGTCACTGTGCCACTGACTGTGTCACTGTGCCACTGAGTCACTGTGCCACTGACTGTGTCACTGTGCCACTGTGTCACTGTACCACTGAGTCACTGTGCCACTGTGTCACTGTGCCACTGTGTCACTGTGCCACTGAGTCACTGTGCCACTGACTGTGTCACTGTGCCACTGTGTCACTGTACCACTGAGTCACTGTGCCACTGTGCCACTGTGTCACTGTGCCACTGAGTCACTGTGCCACTGACTGTGTCACTGTGCCACTGTGTCACTGTACCACTGAGTCACTGTGCCACTGTGTCACTGTGCCACTGTGTCACTGTACCACTGAGTCACTGTGCCACTGTGTCACTGTGCCACTGTGTCACTGTGCCACTGAGTCACTGTGCCACTGTGTCACTGTGCCACTGACTGTGTCACTGTGCCACTGAGTCACTGTGCCACTGACTGTGTCACTGTGCCACTGAGTCACTGTGCCACTGACTGTGTCACTGTGCCACTGACTGTGTCACTGTACCACTGACTGTGTCACTGTACCACTGACTGTGTCACTGTGCCACTGACTGTGTCACTGTACCACTGACTGTGTCACTGTGCCACTGACTGTGTCACTGTACCACTGACTGTGTCACTGTGCCACTGACTGTGTCACTGTGCCACTGACTGTGTCACTGTACCACTGACTGTGTCACTGTGCCACTGACTGCGCCTCTACTCCAACAGAGCTCTGAGATGGTGAATTATTCTTTGCATTTCCTGCCAGAATTATCTTCTTCCAGGCAGTAAAAAATCTCTTTCTAATGTATTGACTGTAACTACCATGGCCAGTTTCAAAAGGCCTGTGAGACTCTAGCTCCTGGTCCCCTTCAAGTGGTACGCAGGGTAGTTTATGTTGTAACATTGTCTTTCAGGGACTGATGAAATTTACAGAATGTAGAACAACACATCCCTTCGGTGCTGAAGTTTGGATGTTTTATAAGGGAACTGTATATAAAGGAGCTTTATAAGGGAACTGTATATAAAGGAGCTTTATAAGGGAACTGTATATAAAGGAGCTTTATAAGGGAACTGTATATAAAGGAGCTTTATAAGGGAACTGTATATAAAGGAGCTTTATAAGGGAACTGTATATAAAGGAGCTTTATAAGGGAACTGTATATAAAGGAGCTTTATAAGGGAACTGCATATAAAGGAGCTTTATAAGGGAACTGTATATAAAGGAGCTTTATAAGGGAACTGTATATAAAGGAGCTTTATAAGCGAACTGTATATAAAGGAGCTTTATAAGGGAACTGTATATAAAGGAGCTCTATAAGGGACCTGTATATAAAGGAGCTTTATAAGGGACCTGTATATAAAGGAGCTTTATAAGGGAACTGTATATAAAGGAGCTTTATAAGGGAACTGTATATAAAGGAGCTTTATAAGGGAACTGTATATAAAGGAGCTTTATAAGGGACCTGTATATAAAGGAGCTTTATAAGGGAACTGTATATAAAGGAGCTTTATAAGGGAACTGTATATAAAGGAGCTTTATAAGGGAACTGTATATAAAGGAGCTTTATAAGGGACCTGTATATAAAGGAGCTTTATAAGGGAACTGTATATAAAGGAGCTTTATAAGGGAACTGTATATAAAGGAGCTTTATAAGGGACCTGTATATAAAGGAGCTTTATAAGGGAACTGCATATAAAGGAGCTTTATAAGGGAACTGTATATAAAGGAGCTTTATAAGGGACCTGTATATGAAGGAGCTTTATAAGGGAACTATATAAAGGAGCTTTATAAGGGAACTGTATATAAAGGAGCTTTATAAGGGACCTGTATATAAAGGAGCTTTATAAGGGAACTGTATATAAAGGAGCTTTATAAGGGAACTGTATATAAAGGAGCTTTATAAGGGAACTGTATATAAAGGAGCTTTATAAGGGACCTGTATATAAATAAGCTTTATAAGGGAACTGTATATAAAGGATCTTTATAAGGGAACTGTATATAAAGGAGCTTTATAAGGGAACTGTATATAAAGGAGCTTTATAAGGGAACTGTATATAAAGGAGCTTTATAAGGGAACTGTATATAAAGGAGCTTTATAAGGGATTTGTATATAAAGGAGCTTTATAAGGGAACTGTATATAAAGGAGCTTTATAAGGGAACTGTATATAAAGGAGCTTTATAAGGGAACTGTATATAAAGGAGCTTTATAAGGGAACTGTATGTAAAGGAGCTTTATAAGGGAACTCTATATAAAGGAGCTTTATAAGGGAACTGTATATAAAGGAGCTTTATAAGGGAACTGTATATAAAGGAGCTTTATAAGGGAACTGTATATATAGGAGCTTTATAAGGGAACTGTATATAAAGGAGCTTTATAAGGGAACTGTATATAAAGGAGCTTTATAAGGGAACTGACTGTATATAAAGGAGCTTTATAAGGGAACTAACTGTATATAAAGGAGCTTTATAAGGGAACTAACTGTATATAAAGGAGCTTTATAAGGGAACTGACTGTATATAAAGGAGCTTTATAAGGGAACTAACTGTATATAAAGGAGCTTTATAAGGGAACTAACTGTATATAAAGGAGCTTTATAAGGGAACTGACTGTATATAAAGGAGCTTTATAAGGGAACTAACTGTATATAAAGGAGCTTTATAAGGGAACTAACTGTATATAAAGGGGCTTTATAAGGGAACTGTATATAAAGGGGCTTTATAAGGGAACTAACTATATAAAGGAGCTTTATAAGGGAACTGACTGTATATAAAGGGGCTTTATAAGGGAACTGACTCTATATAAAGGAGCTTTATAAGGGAACTGACTGTATATAAAGGAGCTTTATAAGGGAACTGACTGTATATAAAGGAGCTTTATAAGGGAACTGACTGTATATAAAGGGGCTTTATAAGGGACCTGTATATAAAGGAGCTTTATAAGGGAACTGTATATAAAGGAGCTTTATAAGGGAACTAACTATATAAAGGAGCTTTATAAGGGAACTGACTGTATATAAAGGGGCTTTATAAGGGAACTGACTCTATATAAAGGAGCTTTATAAGGGAACTGACTGTATATAAAGGAGCTTTATAAGGGAACTGACTGTATATAAAGGAGCTTTATAAGGGAACTGACTGTATATAAAGGGGCTTTATAAGGGAACTGTATATAAAGGGGCTTTATAAGGGAACTGACTGTATATAAAGGAGCTTTATGAGGGAACTAACTGTATATAAAGGAGCTTTATAAGGGAACTAACTGTATATAAAGGAGCTTTTTAAGGGAACTAACTGTATATAAAGGAGCTTTATAAGGGAACTAACTGTATATAAAGGAGCTTTATAAAGGAACTGTATATAAAGGAGCTTTATAAGGGAACTAACTATATAAAGGAGCTTTATAAGGGAACTGACTGCATATAAAGGGGCTTTATAAGGGAACTGTATATAAAGGGGCTTTATAAGGGAACTGACTGTATATAAAGGAGCTTTATAGGGGAACTAACTGTATATAAAGGAGCTTTATAAGAGAAGTGACTGTATATAAAGCTTTATAAGAACTGACTGTATATAAAGGGGCTTTATAAAGGAACTGACTGTATATAAAGGAGGTTTATAAGGGAACTGACTGTATATAAAGGGGCTTTATATGAGAAGTGACATAATCAGGGTGTTGATTCCCTTACCGATTAAGACATTAGTTGAAATGTTCACTGACTGATCAAATCTTTGTATCAATTTGTTACACTGCAACACTTGTGCAACATTTGGGAATTTTTATGGTGGAAACATTTTGCCAGCTGGTGGCTTCTTCAGTCCAGTACAGAAAAGAACAGTTTAAGGTGAGGAGGAATTTCAGGGGATCAGTCCCTCACCCTAGAATCAATGCGTTTACTTCATCATTCTTAATTCACAAAATTTGAATAACACATTTGTAAACAAACCCATCATTCTTGGTAAACAATATAATAGATTGCCAGATATTGCCCAAGAGTTTCAACTTGTCTGTTCTTGAAACCATTTCTGCAAATTCTGTTAAAGTTGACAGTGAGATTGATGTTTTGCAGGTACATCATCGCCCCGGAAGCCGTCCGCCACTGCCACACGGATGATAGTCAGCGGTGTCGGTGAGAGTGCCATCCAACGCCATGAATACCTGGTAGCCCAGCCCTCTGTAGGCTCCACACCCTCACCGGCACCAACCATCTCTCTCAGCGGTGCCAAGTCGCCGGTGCCAGCAGCCGGGGCGGCAGGCCAGGCGCCGGTGGGCACTGTCACCACTATACTGAGGGACGGAAAGAAAGAAACGCTCATAAATGACATTGGTCCCTCTATCTCCACTGTACCACTGCCATCTGCTCCTCATCTACAGGTCAGCCATCATTTAACCCTCAGTTACATTCAGCTGTTTTGCCTCGTACTGTCTGGAATGCTTTCAAAGGCATGTAAATGAAGAATTAGCCACATGTGCACCACCTGGATATCTAGATATCAAAATACCAAGGTGCTTCATGTGTCTTATTAACATGAAAGACACTCAGGTGTTGTACATGTGTCTTATTCATCAATAAAGACACCCAGGTGTTGCAAATGTGTCTTATTCATCAGTAAAGACACCCAGGTGTTGCACATGTGTCTTATTCATCAGTAAAGACACCCAGGTGTTGCACATGTGTCTTATTCATCAATAAAGACACCTAGGTGTTGTACATGTGTCTTATTCATCAATAAAGACACCCAGGTGTTGCACATGTGTCTTATTCATCAATAAAGACACCCAGGTGTTGCACATGTGTCTTATTCATCAATAAAGACACCCAGGTGTTGCACATGTGTCTTATTCATCAGTAAAGACACCCAGGTGTTGCACATGTGTCTTATTCATCAGTAAAGACACCCAGGTGTTGCACATGTGTCTTATTCATCAGTAAGGATACCCATGTGTTGCACATGTGTCTTATTCATCAGTAAAGACACCCAGGTGTTGCACATGTGTCTTATTCATCAGTAAAGACACCCAGGTGTTGCACATGTGTCTTCTTCATCAATAAAGACACCCAGGTGCTGTATATGTGTCTTATTCATTAATAAAGACACCCAGGTGCTGAAAATGTGTCTTATCAAGATATGTGTGTGACTTTTCGTGTAAATGGGACTGAGAAAGTTTGTCTAAAATTTAATATTCCGTGGGAAGACCTTCACAGTAGCTGCTGTTCAATTGTTGATGGACTTGTTCAGACACAGTTACAAAAAATGACACAATATAGAGGAACTTTATAAGAGAGTTGACTGTATAGCAGTTCCTGGACTATTAACACACACACCCGTACCTCTGATTTGTTTTGGTTTAACCTTTAAACTGTCCATGTAGATCTGTTATTGGTGTCAGGGTCCCTTGTGTAGATCTATGTTTGTAGATGAATGGTTCAGAGAACCGACATGTTGATAAATTAGACACATGTGCAACTCTTGGGTATCTTTATTGAAGAAACGTTTTGCCACACAGTGGCTTCATCAGTCCAGTACAAAGTAGAAATGGGTAAGGAGAGGAGTTTAAGGTAATCAGTCCCCCAGCCTGGAGTCGATGTGGTCAGTCCATCAATCTATTCAAGATTGATGGACTGAACACATCGACTCAAGGTTGAGGGACTGATTACCTCATTCTCCTCCTGTTCTTCAAGATTCTCCTTTGTATGGACTGATGAAGCCACTGTGTGGCAAAACGTTTCCTCAATAAAGATACCCAAGAGTTGCACATGTGTCTAATAGATCTATGTTATTGGTGTAAGGGTCCATCATGTAGATCTACATCATGAGCTCAGCTCACTCAGATAAACTGAGAGCAGTAAATATTGCCTTAGACATGAGAGAGTGGGTCTGTGTGGTGAGTGTGCATGGTATAAAAAAAATTCTGCCCTACACTGTGCATGATGGGAAAACAAAACTCTGACCAAGTGTTTAAGATAGCAAATTTGAGTTGTTTTCTAGGATGGTTTGTATGGTTTTATTGGCTTCTTGGTATTGTTTGATAGCTTTTGCGAATAAGAATTTTTTTAAAGAACTTCAGAATGTGGCCTGTTACCATTCATTTCTTATGCAACAAGATTTTTGGATCCGAGTTATTTAAAGTTTTAGAGTCTAGGGGAAATAATTTCAACTGGGAAACTCCATAGAATAATATTCAAATTTATTAAAGTATTTAAATACAATACTTTATCTTCTCTTTGTAGTTAATGTAACTTAATACTTTGTACAATAAATTTACCATATACATTTAGTTCAAAATCATGGAAATGTCACATTAATAAGGAAGTTTAATTATTCTTCCTGTAATTAAGTCTTCATTAACATTTACGTCTTTGTCTTAACAAGACTGTAAACTCAAAATACAAAAGGTACAATATTTGGCAAGACCTTTGAATCTGGCCGTAAAGTATCTCTATGGATTACTGAACTGACCAAGAATATAAATATCAAAAGAATCTTTCAGAGCAATGAGGAACAAATTGAGTCAGCTCTAGAGTCCAATTCTCAAAACCATTCAAACTGTACACCGTAAGAGCCAATATACGATCAGTTGTCAGGGCTAGAGCAGGGAGCAGACTGACTACTTGCCAGTCTGTTGACGCGTCGTCAGGTTGGATCAGCTGACCCAAACGTCAGCCAGCCAGACATAAACAATTGAACAATTCACCGGATGGTTCCGAGACTTAAACTCTATATACACAAGAAATCCTACCTAACAATAATAATAAAATAATAGTGATAATAACAAAATAGTGATAATAGTGATAATAATGATAATAATGATAATAGTGATAATAGTGATAATAATGATAATAGTGATAATACCATGGTATTTTTCATATATTAACAGATAATAATATAACGCCGAAAGTCTCTATTTTAGCTATAAACGGAGACTTTCACGCTATAATATTAAGTGATGAACATATTCTCTTACAATAGTTAAATAACACAGGATGACTAATTTCGAAGATATAACAATAGCATTGAAAACATATTACTGAAATAGAGATGATTTTGGTTGGTTCTGGGATTGGATGAAATTGACCTCAAATGGCAGAAATATTTGATGATTTTTGACAATTTACACCTGAGGATAAGTATGGCTGCCTACAACCCCAGTCTGTTTTATGTTTTGTTTTTAATAGGTCTGATTAAGTTATTTTCTGGTTATATTTTATTATCCAAGAAACAGGGTATATTTTCGATTTTTTGTGATTATGAATTCAAAATGGAAAAGAAGGGTAATATTGGAGAGGCCTGAGGACATAATTAATGAACAGAGGAAATGTTGCTTTAGTGCCAGCAATGTCTACATTGTTAATCTTGGACTCTGTTTTCAAATTGTAGTTTTTAATTTTGTGTAAAATTGGCCAAATTGCTGAATTCTGGACAGTTTATAGGGTGGTTCTGATAGTTGAATGGGCAGTTTCTTGGGCTAAAGCAACAGAATGGAAGACATACTAGGAAAACAGTTAAGAATTTGGTCAAAGGATAGTGACATTTTTTTAAAATAGGATTCAAAGTAGGCAAAATCACCCAGTGCTTAAATCGCTCCCGGACCGCTAACTTTGCACCTGCATAATTTCCTAAGTTTTCCACCAAATTCAATAATTTTGATGTCATTACCTTTAGATAATTATTCTCTACTATTTCTGAAGAAAAAATATATATACAGTAGACCGTCAATTAACCCTTTGACTGTTTCGGCCATATATACATGTATATGTCTTGCGAGCCATTGTTTCAGATGCATATATACTCAATAATTCCAGCGACTTCAACTCAAGCAGGAGAAAGCTGGTAGGCCCATATGTGAGAAAATGGGTCTGTGTGGTCAGTGTGCACAGTATAAAAAAAATCCTGCAGCATGCAGTGCATAATGAGAGAAAAAAAACTCCGACCGTGTTTTTGGATTAAAACACCGACTTTGAGGTGTATTTTCCTATAGTATTTATGGTTGCATTCTCGTTTTCTTGGTCTCATTTGATAGAATGGAAAACATATTATAGAAATAGAGATGATTTTGATTAGTTTCATGATGAAAGCGACCATGAAATTGAGCTCAAATTAACAGAAATGTTCGATTTTTACCAATGTTTTACAGTAAGCAAATCACACCACACTTCCAATACACGTCAACTGGGGAGTCTAATATTCTTTCACTAGTGCACTGACATTATTTATACCATTTTTACAATAATGCAGTAGTCTGCATAACAGTAAATCTTCAATTTTTTATGTGAATAAAAAATCAAAATAGAAAGCAAGAGTAATATAAGAGGGGCCTGGAGACGTAACTAATGAACAGAAGATATGTTATTTTAATGCCAAGAATGTCTGCATTGTTTATTCTGGACCTTATTTTGAAATTGGCATCTTTTTTAATTTGCATGAAATTGGCCAAATTGCCATTTTCTGACCACTTTATTGGGTAATTGAAATCAGTAAATGGGCAGTTTCTTGTACTCAATTGATAGAAAAAATGGAGTTCTAAAGAAATAGCTATGAGTTTGGTCAACTGGAACAATGGGATTTGCCGAAAATAGGGCTCGAAGTTGGCAAAATCGCCAATGCATATATATCGCCGAGATCACTATCTTCGTGGAAGCGTAATTCCGTACGTTTTTGACCAAATTTCATACTTTTGGTGTCATTACCATCGAGAAAAGATTCTCTTTCATTTCATAAGAAAAATTTTTTTTTTCCAAAAATTTTTCGACACCCAGAAACACTTCAGGATTTGGGGATGCAGCAGACACAGGGTTAAGACGGTAGTTATGTTTGTGAAAATGGCATCGACAAAAATGTCTTAAGCAAACTGAAGAACATATGAAAAAAATAGGGTTATGCTCCTTGGACCCCAAAAATGGCAAACAATTTTTTCTTTGGGTCTCCATACTGTAAGCAAATAATAACGATAATGTAATTGTAGTTGGTTGTAATGATGTATTATTTTTAATGCATTGCTTAAGGCCACAAATGTTACATAAATAATTTCTTTCTTTAAACTGTGGATGCTGGTGTTTGTCGATAATTCTGAACAGAGTGGAGAAGGATGTTGTGGCTCTACTGGGCTCAGATGGATGGTTGTGGTTTGTTTGCTGAGGTGGATGGTTGTGGCTTGTTTGCTGAGGTGGATAGTTGTGGATTGTTTGCTGAGGTGAATGGTTGAAGCTCTGGCACTAAAGTTGATGGTTGTACAGGAGTAGTGAGAATTTCTGTAATGCATCTTTGGTCTCTTTTACCCTGCAATAGTTTATACAGCTGATGGTAAGGCATCATCAGCTCCTCCAGGCCCTCCCCTCAAGGAAGGTTCCTTCATGCTGATGAGGGGCTCTTGAT